AGCACATCTATACATTTGTTGCCCTCATCATTCCCAAAATTCGCTTGCCTCTTGGGTTCCCGGAATCCGCTCATTTTCCTTTTTTCCCCCCTCCCCCTCATTTCTTCTGCCCCCCCCTTCATCTTTTAATGATTTTAAAAGAACAGGAATCCTTGACATCGTTGCCTGTTTCTTCCTTAATGCTCAGCGTGTGTGAAAGATACGAACGGTTAGAGACCATTGTTGAAAACGAACCTTTCCATTAACTTCTAAGTAACATTAAAAGAATTTTTTAAAATATGCTTTTTAAAGCCGCCTAGAATCTGTCAGCACATGGTTGGAATAAAGAAATGATTACTAACCTTTTACCTGTGCCACCGGGATGGCCGAGTGGTTAAGGCGTTGGACTTAAGATCCAATGGGCAAGTGCCCGCGTGGGTTCGAACCCCACTCTCGGTAGATTGGTTTTTCAGTTCTAGGATTCTACTTGCGGTTCTATAGCTGGATATATGTAATTTGTCGTGCTCCCTAGAGAAATTAGTTTCCCTAATTTTGTCCGCCGACCTATAGGAAGTACCTCAACCAGTAAGCGCTTTAATGAATTTTAACACGGCTTTGTCAGTTCCTAAAAAGGAAAAAAGCACTTAAATCGATGGCTTGCCTATAGAGGTGATAAAATTACTCTGTTGTGTTGAATCTGAGGCTATTTGCTCCTAAGGCAATCAAGAGCCCCTGCCTTCTTGCAGCGCCCAGCAGGCCAGAGCTACTTGCCAAGAGCACTCACTTGCTTCCAAATAACTGTACTTTAAAAAGCTCCAATTTTTGCAAGACCCTCTCCAGCGGCTCACTGCTTGCAGAAGGTCGAATGAATAAACGAATCCTCACCAGTACAGCCTGGGTTAACAAACAAAACAATGTTCTTTCTCTTCCTTTTCCGGTTTAAAATGCAGACAAGCTCCCCTTGCAATTCCCTGATTGTGGCCCCGCTGAGCATCTTTTTGTACCTGTATTTCCTTCCTTTCCTGTGAACAGCTGGTGAATTTCCTTTACTCGGGTCTGTGGGACTTCGCTGACTTGTCTCATGATTTACCCGAGCTCTTTAAATGTAAAAGGAAGTATCTGTCGGCGTAGTGGGTACCGTGATGGCCTGTGAATCCTCAAGGTCGGGTGTCCGCAACCACCAGTGTCTGCCCCCCCACTTCTCCCCTCCCCCCCAAGGATGAGGTTTCCTGCTTCAGTACGGATTTCCAGCCTTAGACACAGAAATGGACATTTCTTTCTTGCCCTCTAGGGTCTCTGTAAGAACTGACTTGATGACCAATTAATTACTAGGCAATTAATCTTTTTTTAAATTTAAAGATCATTTTATTTGGGGCTGTTACAGCTCTTATCACAATCCACA